AGTTAAAGCAGTTTTTATAGATGTAAATTCATGGAGCAGGCACGTGCGCTGAATTCTACAGGCCAGAGTTTCAGCGAATCCATTGAAAGGTCATCAACATAGTATGCAGCTTTCGGTTAAATGACTCATCATATAAAACTGCTACTTAACAAACAAGAAATTCACCCTTCTCTCAGCCAATCAGTGGTCACTTGTTCAAAAGGCAGACAAAGTAACTTATTATTCAGTACAACATCTTTTCGTTTGGTGCAGATTTCAATGGCTTGTAGAGAACCCCGTGTCCACTGTTTCGTATCATACGCTCAACGTAATTTCAACTGTCTGTATCGGTTTTAATGCCGGACTTAAGCCTAAAGACGATCTGATCCACTTATTCGTTATCCCTTCATATGGCGCTGCTAAACAAAGAAAAGTTTACAACAATTGGCTTGACAATTTTCTTCGCAATTCACAACGGCATCCTTCTTTCCATGAAGCCTTTGGCGCGACGCAAATCTCCGTTTCCGCGTCATAAGCCAAGAGTGCCTTACAGTTCACGATTCTTGAGGTTGTGTCTACAGATTGGTGACAATTATCGACAACGTGTATTCTGTATTCATCCTACGCAACGGTACTCATTTAACAACGGCGGAAAAAGAACGGCAATTGGCTTCACAGGGTCTCTAACCAACCACATCATAGTTCAGACTTCGGCGCCGTACCTTTACACAACCAGGTCTAATGATCACTGCATGACCTTCATGCGTGGACAAGAAGAGTCAGGCTGTCTTAAAGTCCATCGAATGGTTCTCAGGTCCTTGCAGGATAGGCCAAAATATGACGAAGCGGTGCGGTTGGCCAGAAAAATTGAGGTCGAGGGTTACTTTACTGCAACCTTTAGTGCGCAGTCGCGGAGTGACAAAATGAACGAGGTTAACAAGAATTCAGGAAGAGTGTCATTTCCTAGGCATCAAACGTAATTGAGGTCAGGAGGGGAATTTTCACACTGCCCTAGGATACAGAAAAAATCCAAGCCCTTAGAATGAAAAAGAATCAGGCAAATAAGGAGTACTTGCAATTCCCTACTGCATCCCGAAATGTAGTTCATCGCTGTATGGCTCATGTAGTCAACCACAGCTACAGGCGGGACACAGAACTTCGACTGGAGGAGCAAATCGCAAGATCGACTAGGTAGCCATAAAGGGTGCGACGGATGTCCGGTAAGCAGAGGACTCGGTGTGTACCTATCCACGACGTTCAGGGTGTCCCACTTGCAGGTCAGAAGGAACGCTTCGAAACATGGGCTGTCTTCCAGATTCGTCATTCCCGACCTTGAGTTTTCTCTGTCAACACTAGAGATACAAATACAGATCCACACGTAGAAGTGAGCCATCCACAAATTCTTGCAACAATTCCATGTGAAAAAGGCCTGGGGAGTTAATTAAGATAAATGGTACTGGAATGGTAGAAGAACTCTATTTCTGTTTCACTAAATGGGACCCCCAGGCGTTTCCTTGGAGAATACAACTGTGGAGTAACTGTCCTATGTTCAAAGCGGGTCAGTCGACCGAGTGATCGAAATATCTGGAATCGGAATATTGTTAGCTCCGGGGAAACATCCATCTTGGATTGTTCCGCAAAGGCAGAGATAAGCAAGTGATGATAGACTTCATCAAAATCAAGCAGGTTTCCAGATGGGGCATTATTTCCGCGACCAAATTTTAACTATGTGTAGGACCCATTGAGTAATGCTGACGATTATGGTCGAACTTCACGGCCGCATTTGATTCGTTGCATCGTCTGACGATGTGAAAATCTTGAAATGCCGAGGGATACCTGGAAACATCATTATGATTTTGAAAATGATGTAAAGGAACCGTATCTGATGTTACAGCTGAATCTTCCTGGCATCTTAATTTTTCGTTAGTAACGGTGGAGTTTGCCAGGAAGATATGCTTTCCCATTTGCTATTCAACACTGTTCTCGAATTTCTTCGCCGAAACAGTGCTGACGCTGGGGAAAAATGATATTCAGCTGGATACATTGGAGACCTGGAGTACGCAGATTATGATGTCATGGTGAGTAGTAATGGGGGGCATGCTCTGCCATCTGACCACATTAGTATGCGACACAGCTGCGCAAGAAGGCTTCTTCCTTAACAGTTGGAAGTGAAAAGTTATGAAATACATATCTGGCACAGCCGATCTCTAATTGGATCAGGGAAGCGAAGCCGTTGGAAGAGATTAGAGTTCATGT